AGACAGACAGACAGACAGGCAGGCAGACAGGCAGACAGACAGACAGACAGACAGACAGACACAGACAGACAGACAGACAGACAGACAGACAGACAGGAGAGAGAGAGAGAGAGAGAGAGAGAGAGAGAGAGAGAGAGAGAGAGAGAGAGAGAGAGAGAGAGAGGTGCCTAAACAAAGACGTCATCAAATCTCTCCTGCAGAAACAGCAGGAAAAAAAGGTGAGGTAAACAAGGAGTCCGTGAGAAGTCGGAAACTGGATTTATCGTTTCTCGAGTTTGTCAAAAGGAGCTCTGCGATTTCAGAAAAACAGGCTTTTCAGGCTGCCAGAAGATATGAGCCAAGCATACTGTAAATGGCAGAAAACGGAAAATAAGTAAACGTGGGAGACATGGACAGCCTGCACCCCATATGCGTTTACCTCCCATTGAAATCTTACAGAACGCAGATGCCCTCAACGTGGACATCTCTACGAGGAACAGTTTTCTTCGGAAACGTAACTGACCTAAAGGACAAGCTGAAGTGAGGCATCGTACCATCGGGCCTACTGTCTTCACCCGAATAGAAGGCCCGGTCATTATAGCCGTATTTGGTGCAATTTTCGGTCTACATACGGCGATAATGACCGGGCCTTTTATTCGGGTGAAGACGGTAGCTCGGTTAGTACACCCGTGAACTGGGTAAATGCGGACTCAAGTTCGAATCCAGTCCAGATACCTTCAGATTAAGAGAAGAAGATCATTGTGAAATGCCTGGGGCCGGTCAGTTCAATGATGATGATGATATCTAAAGTCCGTTGCCCTTTTTAAAAAAAAAAGGAAAGAACAAAAAAAAGCACGTTTTTAACTGTCAATCTTGCAATCTAGAGAAACGAAATCCCCTGCTGTATGTTTCGCCCCGACAGGGCAGCAAGGCTCTGCTTAGTGGATCTGTTTAGCTGGCGTCCCCAGCAAAAGCGCAAAAACTTTCCGCTGCGTCACTTCGGTTTCCTTTCTTGGCGCGCTGCACAAGTCAACCTACGCCAAGAAAGAAACAACACTCTGCAAATGTCTTTCCCCTGTGAAGTACTCTGGCGGTTTAAACCTTAAAGGCATTGATAAATTCACAGAGTGTTGTGTTGTTTGTTTCTGTTTACGATCGCTTTGCATTCTGTTCTCTCTCTCCAATTCGAACTCAATTGGAGCAGTGCACCCAATAAACTTCGGGCCCATAGGATGGATCATAGCAGGGGCAAAAGTGTACACAAAATTTTGCCGCGAGGATGCTTTTTACGATCTAAGATCATAGTAAGATGTTTATTTTATTTATTAAATTTTATTTTGTTTTCGGCAATTTAGTTTTCTCCTAGGCTGGTCCCCGGCCCGCCCGGCGGCCTGGTCGTCGCCCAGGGGGGGTGTCGGGCCGCCTGGCCGGTTGTCGCGCCCGGTTGGCCACCGGGCACCTTCAGCGCATCACTGTTGGGTAGTTTTTTTTTTTTTTTTTCCGGCACTGGGGCCCTTTTTGCCCCCTTCATAGACCGTGTGGACTGCGGAAAAAAAAAACTGGGCTGGTAGCCCCGATTTCACCGATTTGAAATCCGGCCCCATCTGGATCGTCGATCTTGAAGATCGACGGCCCAGATTCCACCGATTTCAAATCGGCGGGGGCGGGAACTACCGGCCCCCGTTCCCTCCCCCATGCTGAAGATGTGCCCCAAAGTCCCCCCTTTCCTGCCTTGCACCACTGTGTGTCCACCGGCACGACGCGCAACTTCAACGCACCCCGCCAGCACCTGCCAACGCCCGCCATCGCACGTGACCCCGCCGTCGCCCCCCAACGGCCGCCTCAAC